TTGCTACCTTCCTGTATCTTAAAAATATTTAGGCCCATCAACAAGCTGCTGGATATGAAAACCAAAGACAGGAATTACGACCAACATTCAAATAGAAAATTTTAACGAGTATTAAAACTCTACAGCAATTACAAAGAATAATGACAATAACTCATTCTCACTCTCTATTCTTTTACACCTTAGACTTCTTACTATTATAAAAAATACATAATAGATAACCTAACCCTATTTGGGTTTACCGGAATCAAACTCAACTCAGGTCAAATTTTGGTAAACTAATTCTAAACCTAATTAGATATTGGACTTAATTACCATGAGTTGTCGCAAGCCGAAAATCAGTCAAGACTAAGAGAAGTATATACTATATCTAACCTAAACAGATAAGCAAAAACCTCCCTTTCTTGGTTTCTCTAAAACCACACCGATCATGAAATCTCTTTCTGTTGCAACGATTGCATGCAACATAACGCAGTTGCCAACATAATCTACCGGAACTGAAGGATCCATCTAAACGGCTCCTGTAATCTGCTGTAAGTCCAAACATAATACCTCTATTATCTCCTCTTAATCATTTGTTATAATGATGAATTATTTCTCTCTTATTTTCTTTAAAAAAAAAAAAAAAAATTACTTGCATAAGCAAGAAAATTCTGATTCTGATTACAGATTCATCTTTCAACCATATTATTAAGATGGACCGCAGCCGTACATGACAAGTATAATTAAGTTGAGTTTATCATTATTATAATATATAAAGGTTGATTCGGGTGAAGAGTCAGAAGACAGACGATTTTCAAAGACAGGATATAATTATAAAACAAGGGCAGATGAAAGCTCCAACATCTCCGGCAATAGGGAAACCCAATACATAAGAAGTTGACTGCAGAAAATCCAAAACGATTTAAGATAAAATAATGCAAACCTTATGCGTCCGTTTGGTTTATTATTTATCTATATTCTATCCCAATTCCAAATACAAATACAAATTTATTTCCTTATTTTCAAAATTCTATCCTAAATTAAAAAACTTTTAAACCTCCTTTTAAGTTTGTTAATTAATAAAGAACACCTCCAACAAAAAAATTTATAAATTAACAAAAACACCACCACCCATTTATAGTTGTCAGATTTCGACAACCACTATCGGTGGTAGCTAGAATCTGTCACAACGACATACAAACGATTAGAACTAGCCGGTAATTCGTCGATTTGACCTTCAACGACAACCAAATCTAGCCTTTTGTGGTCATCAACGGTCAGATTTGGCCGTCCATCTGACCTTTTCCGGTCAAATCAGTCATAGATCTGACCAGAAAAGGCTAGATTGACGTACGACCGACCAGATGCTACCGGTCTGTGCCATAACGCCAGATTTCGACAGTGGTGACCGGAATTTGGCACTGTAAGTGGATAGGGGTGTTTTTGTCATTTTACAAAAAAATTATATATTTGGGTGATTAGTTAAATTAGCAAACTAAGAGGTTTTTTTTGTTAAATTTTAAATTTTACCTCATAATAATCACCTAACTCTACTTACCAATACTATTTCAAAAATCCTATCCAAAATAATAAATCCGGGCTTATATGTTATCTTTTAGCCACTGACAAATATAGCTGAAAAACTTCCATTTCTTGCTTCTTCAAAGCCACACCAATCTCAACACCAGCGCTTCTACCTCTATTCTTGGCCACACTATAGCTCCATTCCTATCTATTGACACGGTCTCTACCTTCTTCGGTCTCCCCCACCCGAAATCCGACCCGTATACGTCAAACTGGGTCGACCCGTCTACCGAAAGGGCTTGTACTCTTTCAGCATGGGTTTAACTGCAATCAACACCCTTGAAAGTGTATCTTTTCTTCCTTCAAGTTCTCCCCTTTCTAACCCTTTGACCACATCGCTTAATTTCTCTGTAACAAAGGCAAACCCGTTTTCTTCTGTCAAATCTCTTGCGTAATCTGCTGTGAATACGAAAATAACAGTTCTTTCGTCGTCCCCTCTTCTAGCTTTAACCAAGCAGACGAATACATATGCCAATGTTGGCAAAAAAGTTGATAAATGAAGTTGTTTTGGTGTTTTGTCCTCCTCCTTTTCATTTTCTTTATTCAATATAAACAATACCTGATTCCTTATTTTCGTGATATCTTCACGGGTCAACTCAAATGTGGCTCGAACCCAATCGGCATTCGGTGCTATGCTTGGCAAAACCTTCAAGCTTCGTGTGTTGATGTAAGCGTACCAGTTGTTCACGTACTCCATATCGATACCAGTGGGATCTTTGATGACAGTTCGGTCAAAAGACGGGATTAGTTCTGGTAACAAAGAAGGATTTTATTCTTGATCTTTACCTTGTTTGCATAGATAAGCCCATGACTTGATAAACGTGGTTGAACGTTTCCCATCAAATATGGCATGGTGAGTTGTGATGCCGATGGAAAACCCTTGACTTGGAAACAAAGTTATTTGTATAGCAATCATCGCTGCTTTGTCATCAGATGTCAAGAGCTGAGGGATTAAAGGATGAAGTTCCACAACTTCATGAACTCCATTACCAGAAAGCGAATTGAAGTCGGCGGTAGATTCTGCAACAGTGACCGCAACGCCATCGTTTGGGGAGTAGTAGATGTACGGCTTTTTGTCTTCTGGGGGCCAGATAAGGTTCCCAGAAAGAGGGAGGTAATGAAGGAGAGTGAGAGAGAGAGAATGCTTGAGCTTTGGGAGGATAACTGAGTTGAAGAAATGAGGGTTTAAGTCAGCAGTGATTTGGTAGAAGTAAAGGCATTCAACAGGAGGAAAATTAAACCAAAACGTGTCGTATAATGTTAGAGGGAGAGAAAACTCGGAGTTTGAGTTGGAGGGAGGAGTAACTAGAGAAACCTCCTGTATTTTAACAGTGGTGGACGATGATGCCATGAGTGAAGAGTAAAGTAACAAGAAAGAAAGAGAGAGAGTACTGAGAAAGTGCAAAGAAAATTTTGGAAAAATGTAACTGTTTTTCTTGATTATTGAATTAATTAGACAATTTTCAGCTACTAACACCAAATTGGTATAAATTTTACACCAAATTGATATAATTTTTAATGTATTTCATTATTGTATATCCAACTTATTGCACCAAATATTATACAAAAAAGAATATCCTTTAGAATATTGTTTTTTATTAATAATCAATAATTAATTTATTTTACTAATTATTTTTATATATATTAATTAAATATTAGGGATGATATTTTTATTAAATAATAATTATTTTAAAAATTATACTAATTTAATAAAATTAAATATTTATTTAATCAAACAAACGTTACATTTAATATAAAAAAATATTACATCTAATATAAAATATCAAAAAAAAAAGACAATAACAACGCAAAAGTAAAATCCATGTCGATAGTAATTTAATTTTCTGAATTAGTATATCATTCCCACAAATAATTAATTAATGTATTTTAAAAAGTATGAAGGGCATTTGTATCATTGATATGTCTTTATCAAACAAGAAAATAAAGAGAAAACATAGATTTGATCTCATTTATATACAATTATTTGAGGTTACAAATACAAGTAGCTGACATGATGCCCTTGAGGCAGACAGAGACAAGGGAGAGATTGGCATGGATATGTCAAGCCAGTAACAGTTGTCTCATCGAATTGAACGTTGATTTTTATGCATATCTAAAATTAGGGATAATCCGGACAGTTGAAAGGAAACATTTGATGATATTCTAAGGAGACAATTATGTTATTATTCTTATCAGTTAATTGATATTCAATATAATTAATAACAATATTGATATCCTGTATCTTAAAAGCAAGGTTTTGAAGGGTTAAACCTAGCAAAGTAGTCGGGTTCTGGGTTGACGGATTGAACAGGTTTGACAGGTGGATCAAATCGGTGATGTCAACATATAAAAGGTTTGAAAACTAGCAAAAACACCTCTTAAAATTATTAAGTTTCTGTAGGTTTGAAATCTTATAAAAACACCCCAAATTACCCTCCCAACATCGACAACCCAGACCAAATAGGGCATGTTTCCAATCAACAACAAACCCCATCACCATGAAAACTCTCATTTCATCCTCCTGATCAAAACCCATCTCACCCCACCCAAGTTTACCTCGCCAATTTGCAGTTGCCGTCGATTTATTTTGCAAGTTCCAGTCGTTTCGCTCACTGAAAATCACCTCTATGGCCACCTTTCCACTCACCTACCCTTTCTCTTCAAAATTCTCAACATCTCGACCTTCAATTGTTTGTCGATCATTGTCGTAATTTATAGGGTTTTTGATTAATAGTAAAATTGGTAACCGGCCCGGTGAAGGCCCCAGGTTTCGGTTGAACCAGTTCAACCAATCGGGGCTCGGCTAGGTTTTAAAACACTGCTTAAAAGTCTTTAGGCCCATCAACTAACAGAGAAGCAAAAACCTCCATTTTCTTGGTTTCTCCAAAACCACACCGATCATGAAATCTACCGGAACTGGAGGATCTACCTAAACGGCTCCTGTAATCTGCTGTGAGTCCAAACATAATACCTCTATTATCTCCTCTTAATCATTGGTTATAATGATGAATTATTTCTCTCATATTTTCTTTTTAAAAAAAAAAAAAGAAATTACTTGCAGAAGCATGATAATTCTGATTCTGATTACAGATTCATCTTTCAAGTTTCAGCCATATTATTAAGATGGACCGCGGCCGTATATGACAAATATCCTTAGGTTGAGTATATCACCATTATAATATATAAAGACAGGCAATTTTCAAAGACAGGATAGAATTATATCTTCTCCGTTAGAAATTTTTTTTCGCTTCAATTTTGTCATGCGGCAGATTTTTCTGTTCGAATTGAAATGCGTATAGAAGAGGGAGTTTGACAAGTAAAATACATTTTTAAATCTTCAGTCAGACATTCACGTGATGACTTCATAAACAGTGAGAAAAAATGCCTTAAAAATTGAGGGAAAGGTCAGAGTAGTTGAGACAATAAAGAGGTGACAGATAAGAGGAGATTAATTATAATACAAAGGGAAAATGAAGCTCCAAAATCTCCGGCAATCGGGAAAACAAATACATATAAAATAAGAAGAAGTTGACTGCAGAGAATCCAAAACGATTTAAGATAAAAATAATGCAAACCTTATATGTTATCTTTTAGCCCACCGACAAATAGAGCAGAAAAAACTTCCATTTCTTGCTTCTTCAAAGCCACACCAATCTCAACACCACCGCTTCTATCTCTACTCTTGGCCAAAGCAATAGCTCCACTCCTATCTATTGATACAATCTCTACCTTCTTCGGTCCCCCCCACCCGAAATCTGACGCGTATACGTCAAAATGGGTCGACCCGGCTACCGAAAGGGCTTGTACTCCTTCAGACATGGATTTAAGTGCAATCAACATCCTTGAAAGTGTGTCTTTTCTTCCTTCAAGTTCTCCCCTTTCTAACGCTTTGACTACATGGCTTAATTTCTCTGTAACAAAGGCAACCCCGTTTTCTTCTGTCAAGTCTCTTACTGTTGCAGTGCATAGAAGTGGCATAACGCAATTGCCAACATAATTCAATGGAACTGGAGGGTCTAAACGAGTCCTGTAATCTGCTGTGAATGCGAAAATAACACTTCTGTTGTCTTCCCCTCTTCTAGATTTAACCATGCAGACGAATACATATGCCAACGTTAACAAAAAAGTTGATAAATGAAGTTGTTTTGGTGTTTTATCCTCCTCCTTTTCATTATCTTTATTCAATATAAACAATACCTGATTCCTTATTTTCGTGATATCTTCACGGGTCAACTCAAATGTGGCTCGAACCCAATCGGTATTCGGTGCTATGTTTGGCAAAACCTTCAAGCTTCGTGTGTTGATATAAGCCAACCAGTTGTTCACGTACTCCATGTCGATACCAGTGGGATCTTTGATGACAGTTCGGTCAAAAGACGGGATTAGTTCTGGTAACAAAGAAGGATTTTCTTCTTGATCTTTACCTTGTTTGCATAGATAAGCCCATGACTTGATAAACGTGGTTGAACTTTTCCCATCAAATATGGCATGGTGAGTTGTGATGCCGATGGAAAACCCTTGACTTGGAAACAAAGTTATTTGTATAGCAATCATCGCTGCTTTGTCATCAGATGTCAAGAGCTGAGGGATTAAAGGATGAAGTTCCACAACTTCATGAACTCCATTACCAGAAAGCGAATTGAAGTCGGCGGTAGATTCTGCAACAGTGACCGCAACGCCATCGTTTGGGGAGTAGTAGATGTACGGCTTTGGGGCATCTGGGGGCCAGATAAGGTTCCCAGAAAGAGGGAGGTAGTGGAGGAGAGTGAGAGAGAGAGTGTGCTTGAGCTTGGGGAAGATAACTGAGTTGAAGAAATGAGGGGTTAAGTCAGTGATTTGGTAGAAGTAAAGGCGTTCAACAGGAGGAAAATTAAACCAAAACGTGTCGTATAATGTTAAAGGGAGAGAAAACTCGGAGGTTGAGTCGGAGGAAGGAGTAACTAGAAAAACCTCCTGTATTTTGACGGTGTTGGATGATGATGCCATGAAATTAAGAGAGAAGAGATGTTAATGGCTTAATGATCTCTTAAGGAGTTGCTGATATATCTTTAGAGTTTAAACCCACGAGGCCTCCGAGTCTCGAGTTGAGCGGTCTAACTGGTTTGACTGGCGGGTCAGCGGGTCAAATCAGTGTCCAAAGATTTTAAATTTAACAAAAATATTTTTGATTATTATATAAATCCTTATAAATTTGAAATCTTGTAAAAACATTCCAAATACCACCATCATATTAATAAATAGGGTCTGTTTTCAGTCACAACAATACTCTCCATCATCACAAAAACACTCTCTTCAACCCTATGACCAAAACCTATTTCACCCTTCCCTCGTTTGTCTCTTCAATCGCCGACGACAATAGGTTTTTTTTGGCGATATTGTTTTACGATTTTCGGTCAATTCACTTACCTGAAATCAATACTGTTGCCACCATTCTACTCATCAGCCATTCCTTTTCTAAAGTCTTAATATTCTAGTCTCTAATTGTTCATGGATTGATATCCTAATTTTTAAGGTTTTGAATAAATAGGAAAATTTGTAACTGACCAGTCAAGCCGGATTCCTAATCACCGCCCACAACTACTCTCAAAAAGAAACCGTTGAATTGTTAAAGCTTGAAGATAATTACTTATCACGACTCTTGGACATGATTTCTTTAATTTTTAATCTAATATATGCTCTGCCATTTATGAAATTGCTTGTTCTTTCTTGAATTAATTTTTTATTGTATTTGTAATCGTTGAAACTTCCAAAGTCGATGCCATACTGATTAAGATTGATCACCATTGTCTATATTTTAATATATGGCAGTTTGAATTGATACTTCAGAATGTGATGGCAGTCCAGTTTAAAGGCAGCGTACAGACGGAGAAATATAAAATAAAGGAATTCCACCTTCCACTTTGACTCATCTCCTTTATTAGTGACTATTGAATTGCAATTAATTGTAGAATGCCATCTGGAAATCAGCCCTATGATAAGCCAAATCTTTTTTTAGTAATATGGCAAAACTTGTAGATTTTAGAAAAAAAAAAAAGTACTGTTTTTTCTTACCAACTATTTAAATATGGGTTTCTTGAATAATCTTATTCTAATTTATTCTTAGAATCAAATCTGGGTTCTTGCAATATACATTTGCTTACGTTACTTTTGTTAGTTATGCTCTTACCTGACTATTAAGCGTATATAAATTTATAAATGATCCAGTCGAGGTTCAAATGAAAAGTGATTTAGGAGCTGGTATGCATCTTCTTAGTAATTGTAAGTCGAAAGATGATGATCTTGGAGATCATCTTTCTCCTGATACTTACTTTAAATTTAAATTCCGACTTGACTTTTGAGGAACAACAAGATTCTACTGTAGCTTTGCATGGAAAAACGAATTTCACTGGTTTGATAATTTCAAATGGCAAAGGGTATAAGTGCAATGTCTGTATGTAGGTAATTAGAGCAAAAGGTCCATGTACGTTAAATAGAGAAACTAAGGGGTATGATATATGTTATGACTGTTATCGTCGTAATAACTAGGGGGAGTTTCAATTCAGAATAATAGATTTTTAGTATCAGTTGAAGGCAAGATGTAGTGTTAATGTAATGTGACACAGTTGAATAAAATTTATTACCTTGTGAATTTCACCATTGAATAAATTTATTACTTTAGATGGAAGATTGTAGCTTGTTTTCTTTTCTTTTTTTTTTTGTAACTAGAGTGTTAGAGTCAGTTTGCACGTATATAAATTAATCTTCGAGATCTATTGAACATTCTACAAGTCCAAAAGACTAGATAAGTTATAATATTATTGTAGTAAGTTGACCCAATATTTGAATATAAAAATTCAAAGAAGGAAGCACTTGATCACTGGACCAATCCCTTGGAGTTTGATTTCTTTTATGATTTCATCGTGAGTTTGAGTTTGTATCTCCTTGGGAAAACATATAAAATCATATACAACTTATATAAGGTATAATAGTATCATTTTTATGGGGATCACTGATCAGGAATATATTACTTATTTCCTATTGAAGACCTCTATAGGTCCCACGGCGGGACAAGAGACTATCCCTGAATTAAAAAAAAAAACCCATAAGTTTCTATAAACGTACAACTACGCCCTAAATAGTTTAAAGGTTTTATAAATTACCCAATCCTATAATCATGTCCGAAAGCAAAATAAATAAATTGGCTAGATTATCAATAAATAAGGCTAATGTTACGGAAATTTAATTGAACTCATTACATGTAAAAAACTTGTAAAGTCAATATTTTTGCCTAAACTTAATAAATTGTTGTTTTGGTGTAGTGTAGGAGAAATCTCTTATTATCTTAGGATTTCTATTCTAAATGGTTTTTAATTTATTTTATATTTAGGAAATTCTGATTTTTTATATATATATTTTTTATGTTATAGTATTATTCATTTTATCTAATATGTATAGTAGTATTATCAGTTTAAAAATATTAAAACATGTCAAAGACAGTTGTAATTATATTGTATAAAAAATTTATCAATAATTCTTAAAGTTTTAATATTTATCATTATGTTAAAATTATAGATTATTATATAACTTTTTGAAAACTTTCCTTTCTCACTTTGAATTCAAAGCTCTGCCACTACGCTGCCCAAGCCTACTATAAGTATATGATGCTAAAAATAATGTTAGCTCATAGTAGATAGGAGAGAGAATTTGTGGAGGCGTCAGAAATTTTGTTAAGATGTAGGGTGTTTTGGATAAACTTATTGTGGGATAGCATTGGTTTTGGGGCTTTCATAGCTAGGGCTGTTTTCGAGCAGAGTTTTCGGCTAAACGAGCTTAGCTCGTTAAGGGAAGAGGCAAGTTCAAGTTCGAGCTGAGTTGGATGAGCAGTTGATTTCTTGGCTCGGCTCAAACTTGTTAAGGGAGAAGAGATTTCGAGCTTGGCTCGCGAGCTGGTTTAACGAACCAAGTTCAAGCCAGCTCATGAGTCAGTACAAAAACAGGCAATTTTTTGAAGTTAACTCAAGTACATATACACAAGTGCAATACATCCACTTTGCATTAGAAATATATAAAAAACTTAACAAAGTTATGTCTCGAAGCCATCAAAATTGACCCAGATTCATTAGTCACATGCTGCATCTTCCATCCTAATCATTTCATGCAGTGACTTTAATTTAGATAAAAAAATTACTAAAAGTTGGAATCAAAAGGTGTCGGCAACGAGATTGATGACAAGAACAATGGGCAACACCAACACGAGCGTGACAGCGAGAATAAGGCGACAACAACAATGACCAGACGACGATGACAACAATAAGAAGGTGACAACAGTGGGCAACAATGATGACGACAGCATGGTGTTGGGCAACGACAACAACGTGGTATTGGGCGATGGCGACAGCCTGGTGGTGGATTAGGTTTCAGTGTTTCATGGCGAGAGTTGAAGGGGTAGATGGAGTCTGCGACGCCGACAACTCTCCGACAAATCAAATGGTATTAATGGCGATGACGAAGCACACCGAAGATGACTAGAAAATCAGTTGAAAATTGTATGGGTTTGGTTTTTCTCGGCAAAGAGGTTATGTCGATGATTTTAGGGATTTTAAAATTGGGTGGTCTTTGTCATTCTTGAGAACTTTTTGTATTTGAAATTTTAGTTTAATCCCCTATACTTTAGAAAACCCTCAAAAAACCCCCACTTATTTGAGCCAGGCTCGACTCGCGAGCCTAATGAGTCGAGCCGAGGCAAGCTCAAACTCGGCTCGTTCTCTCACATGAACCGAGTCGAGTCGGCTCGAAACCATATGAACCGAGCAGTTAACGAGCCAGATTAGAGCCGAGTCAAGCCGGCTCGCGAGCGGCTCGGTTCGTTAACCAGCCCTATTCATACCTATCATATTACGTAGCCTACTCTTAGGATAATTGGTATTTGGTACCAGGTTTTTTGTTTTTGTTTTTTTGTGATTAGGAGTGTCCGGGCCAGCTTGCGTGCATCTTAACTAATTTCTTGAGACTTTGAAGTGAACGATCGAGTAAATTCCCTCAGTGACTGCCCTTATTAGTGCCTGAGGAGGCTCGAACTTAGAAACCCATATTAAACATCTTTGCTCTTTTACCATTACGTCATCCCATAGTAGTTTTTTTTTTCTTTTTTTTTTTTTTTGGTCTCTTTGATTATTAAATTATGTGTTTTATACCAGTATATCTTGGTAATTGATACAAAAATTATTATGAATTAGTACTACTCAATTGCTAAAGAAACATTAAACTCAATGAAATTGAACATAATTAATAGCAATAATATCATATTATGTCTTCAAAATGACATTATATGTTATCAAAATATTGTTCTAAGAATGTAAAAGTTGCAGAAACTTTATTGATTTTTTAGTCCATCAACAAACAAAGAAGAAAAAACCTCTATTTCTTACTTCTCCAAAACCACACCAATCTCAACACCGCCACTTGCATCTCTATTCTTGGCCAAACCAATGGTTCCACTCCTATCAATCGACAAAATCTCCATTTTATTGCTATAGGGTTATGCCATTTGGCCTTAAGAATGCTGGGGCACCTACCAGTGCTTGGTGAACAAGATGTTCGCCGACCAAATCGGTAAGACCATAGAGGTGTACATTGATGACATGCTCGTCAAGTCAAAGGTCGCAGAAAGCCACGTTGAACATCTGGAGGAAATGTTTGACATCCTCAAAAAATACCAAATGAAGTTTAACCCCTTAAAGTATGCTTTCAGGGTAAACTCGGGGAAATTCCTAGGTTTCCTCGTGAACCAATGGGGTGTAGAAGCCAACCTAGAGAAGATTCAAGCTCTGCTCAATATGAAAAGTATGACCAGTGTAAAGCAAATACAAAGCTTGACAAGGCGTGTGGCCGCACTCAGCAGATTTGTTTCTCGAGCCATAAATAGATGTTTACCATTTTTTGAGACCTTGAAAGGAAAGAAAGACTTCAAGTGGACAGAGGAGTGTGAGAGAGCCTTCCAGGAGCTAAAGAAACATTTGG